TCTACCTCTCTTTGTTTCAGACATAGGATAAATAAACTTTAAAAACAAGGTCTCACAAAGGTTCTCTCCTGGTTTTGGAGGTTATAAGTTCCACAGGGGTCTCACTGAGCTGAGATCTGGTTGTGGCAGGGTTCCGTTCCTTCCCAAAAGCCTGGGGGGCAGAATATGGCCTTTCCTTTCCCAGCTTCCAGGGGCTGTCTGCATGCCCTGGTATGTGACCGCCTTCCTCCATCTTCAGAGCAGCAACCCTCGGACTCTTCCCATGGTCTCATTTCCTTCTCTGACCACTCTGCTAAACTCTGCTTTCCCCCCCCTTTTTGCCAGAAGGTGTATGCACTCACTAAAGAGGGACAGACAGAGACAGAAAGAGAGGGAGAAAGCAACCCCCAGCAGGGCATGGTCACACTGAAGTGCCCTCTCCAGTTCTTCATTTTGTCATGATTTGGGGTATGCATACACATGCACACAGATGCCCAGTGTCCTTGGAGCTGCAGAGCCCAGGGCTGAAATCACATGACAGGCCATGTGGAACCCAGCTCCCTTAACCACTACGCCCATTCTCTGCCCTTTATATTATGTATTTATTTATTTTTAGATTTTTCTTGTAGGGTATCTGGATTTGCCAGAAAGAGAGAGAGAGGCAAAGTGAGAGATTACCTCCCAGGGAGGATGGGTATGTCCTAATCCCTTCCCCTCCATTTTCCTTGCAGGACTTTGGACGTGCATGCACACTCACCTGGTGTGATTTTCATGATACCAGGTCTGGGACTCAAACCATGGTTGGCTGTGGGAGTCCAGCAACTTTACCACCACCCAACCTCTGAGCTTTTTACCTAAGGATTTATGTCATTAGATTGGGTGAAGCTGTTTAAGCCAGGATTTCGCCATGTAAGATCACATATTGATAAATTATGTGGTTATGTTTAGGATTAGGGCATGGACAGCATGGGAGGACATTATTATATTATATTATTACATTACATTGTATTATATATTACATTATCATAGCACCCAATTAAGAAAAATGGTGGTAGTAAGTTGTTAGGCTATATTCAACACTTTGTTATGCTTCACTTCAATCTAGTACTTGAAAATTCTAAGAAACAACCATTAACAGAGAAGAGAGTCGGAGTTGCGCTAATCTAAGGGATGTTTAAAGGAGGAGAGTATTTAGCTCAGGCAAAGGAGGAGCTATATTTAGGGTTGGGGTGAAGTCTGTGGTTTGGGAAGGCATGAAGTGATTGCTGTCTTCAAAATACCAGACAGTTCTGTCATAGGACAGCAGGCTTAAACTTGTGTCGTGCATTCTTAGATGACAGAATAGGATAAATATCTGGAAACTCCTAGGATGCCCTATTGGTAGAAAGTCAAGCAGATCTCTATGGTGGGATTTCAAATAGTTCATGGAAAAGTGAAATTAAAGTATGAGTTTATTTTAAGACTCATTTTTATTATTTAACTTTATTTATTAGTTTTAATTTGACCAAAGAAGGACAGAACAAGAGCAAGAGTGAGAGAGAGAAGGAGACAGAAAGTGAGAAAGCAAGCTGCCAGATCTGGAACTCTAACAGTGATTGGCCATGTGGGAGTCCAGCACCCTTAACAACTGGATCATCTGCCAGCCCCTAGTATGAGTTTTTGATACAAACAAATTTCAAAATCCATACATAGTTTCTTCTTTCCTTTTCTCTTTCTCCTTCTTTTTGAGAGATTTTTGCTGTAGGGCATATGCACTTGCTTGAGAGACAGAGACAGTGAGAAATCACCCCTCAGAGGAGATGGCCATGCCATAGTCCTTTCTCTTCCATTTTCCTTTGAAGATTTTGGGCACACACACACACACACCCTCCATGAGTTTCAAGCCACCAGGTCCAGGACTTAAACCGCGGTCGGCCATGTGGGAGTTCAGCAATGTAACCTTACGTCATCTGCTGTCCCCATGGACAGTTTCTTCATATTACACGTTTCCTGTGAACTTTGTGTAGACCCCTCTTATGGCTATTACTGATGTCTTGAAATGATGCAGGCTAGAAATGCCATAACTTGATTATATGAGGAGTCTAAAAAAGATTTGAGTATGAGGTGAGGCATCAGAGGAGATCTCAAATTCAATTTAATTCTCACAATTAATGATTCTGTGGCTTAGAATTCTGTTCATGGCCTCTTAACACCTCTGATTACATATAGCTAGAGCTAACTGGGGCCCTTCATCCTTATAAAGGATCTTTTTGCCCTCACAAAATCCATCATAAGGGTCTATCTCAGGCCAAACAAAACAAAGGGTGAAGGAAACTGGGTGGGTGAAGAGCCCTTCTTAGCAGGCAGCGTGTCCATGTCCATGCTGGCAACATAAAAGCAGTACAAGGTGTTAGGTAGCACATGATTTCCTAAAAATACTCTGTGGAGTTGACTCCTTGGCCTAGTGGTTAAGGGAGCCAGATCCCACATGGCTGACCATGCAGTTCAAATCCTGGCTCTAGAGGCTTAAAAAACAAACCAGGCACGTATGTATGAAAATCGCAAGCGGATAGAGACATGGGAGAGAAGGGATTGTGGTGGGGTAATGCCCCACTGGGAGGTGCTTTCTTCCTGGCATATGTGCCCCTTGGCAATTACAAAACATAGTATTTGCACCATCCAGTGGCATGGTGGTTAAGGGGGCTGGATCCTACATGGCTGACTGTATGGTTTGAGTCCCAGACCCAATGGCTTGAGAAATATGCCAAGCATGTTTGGGTACGTGCCCAAAAATCTCTAAAAAAAATGGAAAAGATGGGGTTGTGGTGTGGCCATCTATTCCTGAGGGGTGTCTCTTTCTCTGTCTCTTTCTCTTTCTTTTTCTCTTTCTTCTTTCTCTCTCCTATGAGCACACATATCCTATAGGGAAAAAAAGCCACATGTGAACACTGAAATAAGTACAACTGAAGGATTCAATTTTTATCCTCTCTCTCTCTTGCTCTCTAACAAGTATGCAAGCCCTATAGCAAATTATAACAAACAAACAAACAAACAAAAAACTCTTTGGCATGAAACGAAATGAGCAAATGGACTATGAAGAGACAAACTTGAAAGATTCCTTTACCTTTAGGTTGTTTTTGGTTTTCTTCTTTCTTTCTTTCTTTCTTTCTTGTTTCTTTTTTTTTTTTTTTGAGAAGTTTTTGCTATAGGGCGCATGCGCTTGCCAGAAAGACAGAGAGAGACAGAGACAGAAAGCGAGAAATCACCCCCTCCCAGGGGGGATGGCCGCACTGCAATCCCTTCTCCTTCATTCTCCTCCTGGGATCTTGGGCACGCATGCACACCCGGTGTGAATTTAAGCCACCGAGTCTGGGACTCGAACTGTGGTCAGCTACATGGGAGTTCAGTGGCATAGCCATTATGCTAACTGCTGGTCCCTACCTTTAGGTTGTTGTATGGATAGTAAGTATGTCTCATAGTTCAAGAAAGTTAGATATTAAAAACTGAGGGGGAAAAAACAGGTCCTTGTATCTAAACCAAAAAACAACATATTTATCGAGATCTTATCAGTCCACTACTGGATGGCTATCTGGGATAATTTGTATAAGATCTGTGAAGAGCTGTAGAAAATATTGTTTTTATATCAATAGTATGTACTCCATAAAATTACTTTTTTATATGTTCAAGAATTGTTATGATGAATGTTCTTGATCTTTTAAATATATGTCTGAATGTCTGGGTTAGAAACTCAAACTGTCCTCTATTTTGGGCTATTTTACCAAGAAATTCTTTTTGTTTTTAATTGCCAGGGGCCATGTGTGCTCACTAGTGAGCTGTAGAAAAATAGAAAGAGAGAGAAAGCACCCCCTCCCCCAGTAGGGCATTGTCATGTGGAATCCCTCTTTTCCATTTCTCTGTCCTGTTGAGATTTAAGGCAGGAACACACCATCATAATTAGTGTGTTTCTCAAGCTACTGGGGCAGGATTTGAACTGTGGTCCATCATGTGGAATCCGGCTCCCGTAACCACTGGGCTACAGGGCCAGCCTGACCAATAAATTATTTTCTCCTATGAAACTGTCCAAAAGGAATTGACATTAATTATAACTCTAGTTGTACGGAAGAGACATCTTCATAGTTCTCTACAGCTGTGGTTTATACACCTTTAAAGAGAGCCCTGAGTGTCTTGGGGTTGTAATGGCAGGGCCACCCCGTGCTAAGAGGAGCTTGTTCAGACACTTAAGATCTGGCACCAATCTTATCAATGACTTCATGGCCTTTCCATCTTCTTTCCACCTCTGTGGATTACCCAATAGCAATAATGACGATCAGAGCCAGCCCCTGGTACTCCCTCTGTAGTCAGGGAAGGTCAGCTATTTTTGATCCCCTTGGGAGAAAGACAGTTCCTCAATCAGTATCTTAAAATAGCCAGCCATTCTCAGCTGCCGGGCTGGAGTCCCTCCAGGGGAGAGCAAAGGGAATACAAATCCACCAGCTGGGTGAGCGAGAAGCCACCAAAACATGAGCTAGGACAGGCTTCTCCAGAAGATTCTGACGCCTCAGAAACTTTTTTTTTTTTAAGATTTTTTTTTCTTCTTTTTGTTAGTGTTGAGAAGCTAGGTGTCTGCCATTTTAATATTTTTTAATCTTATTGAAAAGGAAGCCAGTGAATTGAAAAATGAAACTAAACATCGCCATTTTCTTTGGGGCTCTCTTTGGTGCTTTGGGGGTTTTGCTCTTTTTGGTGGCCTTTGGATCGGATTATTGGCTCCTTGCGACCGAAGTGGGGAAGTGTTCAGGTGAACAGAATGTGCGTTTCTTCTTCACAACCTTGATATCCTTGGGAGAGATGAGGGCTTCCTTAGGTATCTTCTAGAAATCAGAGAACAGTCGTGAAGTTACCTATTTCTTCATGGAAGAGATCTGTAAAGGCGACTGGTCATCATTATTTGGGATAGATCTGTGATAGCGAACGTTTCCTGGTTGTAATGATTTTGAGTATATTCCTGTGTTGAAAGTACGTTGCCTCCTTTGTGTCTGCAGATAGAGAATGTCACTTTCCACCATGAAGGATTCTTCTGGAGGTGCTGGTTTAATGGGATTGTGGAAGAGAATAACTCTAATATCTGGAAGTTCTGGTATAGTAAGTGCAATTTTGCTTTATTTTCCCCTGTTTCTACAAATTTTAAAAGATGACAGTTCCTTATTTAGTGCATATCAGTTGCAAGAAAATGTATTTCTTAATTATAAAGTCTCCATAGGATATCTTCAAAGGTTCATGAAGAGATTTCAGTATATAGAAGTGGCCATAGGAATAATTATTTAGCTTCTAACAGAAAAAAGGAGTCTGAATATGTATGGCAAAATTGAATTATCTGCTGTTTCCCTGCTCATAATTAAAATACACTAACTCTAACAACAACAACAAAAACAGATATTATCTATAGTATTTTTTTTCAAGCATCTGTTAATGCTATGTTGCAAATAATGCTGTTTTCATTATAAACCCTTAAAATCGCAAATGTAAAAATCCAGAAATAGAGATGTATTATTTTATGTTTACAGCTTCAAAGCTAAAAAAATTAGATAATGAAACTTAATTACCAGAAGGAAGAGATGAAAGCTCATTTTATTTGGGTTTAAACACGTTTGTAAAGCAGTACCAAGAAATGACTGGCTTTTGATGTTTACATTCTCTTATGGACATTTGTAAAGCTCTTTTTTTGAAGTAGGATAGTTTTCTAAAACTAGAAGTTTTAGAAGTATTCTTTCAAATCTATTTCCAGCATTGTATTAATCTTTGAAAATCAATCCATTGAAAATATCTAGCATTTATTTGATTGTATCCAACATTGAAAGAACTGTTTATTAGCCTAGAGCTTGTTAAGGATTGAAATGATTAGTCTTCTTATAAAATATCCCCATGAAAAATCAAAGTATGGTATTTCCACGGGAGTCCAGATGATGGGAGCTATAATGAAAATATGAAATCACTGAAATTTTAAGCACAATGAAGGCAAATGGGCATGTATGGAAGGAAGAGGGCAGTGATAAAGTGCCATTTTAGAGGAATATCTGAGAGACAATCTTTTAATGTACTTTAAGCAGGAGAATAAGCATGCAAGTTGCTCAAGGAAATTGTTTAGATTTTGATAAAGTCAATTAAGTCAGACTTTAGAGAAGATTTTGCCAAAGACTTAGGAAAGTTAGATGATTTATCTCATCTTTTAAGTATGCATAATGAAATGTAAAAGTTTTTAGAAAACATAAAAGTTTTTGGGGGGGTCAGCAGGTGGTGTAGTGGTTAAGGCACTGGACTTTCACATGACTGAGCAGGTTTGAATCCTGGGTCAGGTGACTGGAAACTCACAGCAGACATGCGTGCTTGTGAGCCCAAAATCCTGAGAGGAGAAAGGAGGATACGCATTATGTTATGGCTATTCCTTCTGAGAAGTGACTTCTTACTTTCCCTCTCACTAACTCTGTCTTTCTGGTGAGCACACATGCTCTATGGCAAAAATCTTAAAAAAAAAAAAAGAAAAGTTGCTTCTTATGGTTTCTTCAAATGCTAGAAAAATTTGAAATAACTTGTTTGAGCTATCATTTGCATCTTTTCTCTAAAAACAGAATACACAAATTTTTTTTCTAGTGATTGGAACTAACACAGATTCAGTCTAAGTTTATTAGATTTGCTGAAGCAATTATTTCTGTAAGAGATATTTTTGCTATAGGGTACATGTGCTCACCAGAGAGACAGAAAGACAGAAAGCAAGAAATAACCTACCCCCCCCCCACACACACACACACAGCAGATGGCCAAACACACACACAGCAGATGGCCACAATCCCTTCTCCATTCTCGTCTTGGGATTTTGGGCATGCATGCACACTGCCCAGTGTGAGTTTCAAGACTCCAGGTCCAGGACTTGGACCATGGTCTGCAATGTGGGAGTCCAGTGTTGTAACCATTATGCCATCAGTTTGGCCCCAAGCAATTATTTTTGAATACTGATGGTATGCTAGGCATTATGTTCAGTATAGGAGACTATGTGAAAATAAGAAACTGGTGCCTTCGATGTTAAGATTTTAGAAAGGGCATTTGTGTTTATTCCATTGAATTATATCACAGAGCTAGATGTCCCGGAAGAATCTTCCTTCCAGGTTCCCTTTAACTCTTGATAAGAAATGTTTAGGAGGTCTTCCTCCCTCATACGATTCTCTGACTTTGTTGAGGGAGATGGCAATTCCATCAGTTCCCAGATTCTGTTTTACTGAGCCATCACTGAAGCTTCTTGGTAACGAAGATCCCTGCTTTGCTGTCTTTCCTAGCCAATCAGCCACCATCCAAGAACTGCACTCATGCCTACCTGTCGCCGTACCCCTTCATGAGAGGAGAGCACAATTCCACGTCCTACGACTCAGCCATTAGTAAGTACCCTCTGTCCTCAGAATGCCACCAGAAAAGATTTGTCTTTCTAGAAGTGCGCACCACAAAATTTTTGTGGGAAATTATAAAATCATTTATCACCTATAATGCCAATATTTTCTCTGATAACAGCCTACTAGATATAAGTAAATAAGATGTTTGAACACACTATAATTTTAATAGAACATAACTTTGATCTGAAAGTAAGGTCATTGTAATTTACTTATACACTTTAATTTACTTATGTTTAATTTAAATATGATTTACTTGTAAAATTAATTTTTAATGTGTAATTTCTCATCTAAAAATAGACATTTATTAGGAAAATTTGCATCTTAAAGATTTAACTAGCTTTAAACTAGTCTTCCAATTAAACTATTATAGTATACAGCTTACTTTAAAAAAAATAATAAATGGAGGGCCAGCAGGTGGCATGGTGGTTAAGGTGCTGGACTCCCACATGGTTGACCACGGTTTGAGTTCCAGACCCAGTGGCTTGAGAATCATACTGGGTGCATGTGTATGTGTGCCCAAAATCTTGAGAGGAGACTGGAGGATAAGGGATTGCAGCATGGCCATCCTTTCTGGGGTCTGTTTGGGGGTGATCTCTCACTTTCCTTCTTTCTGTCTCTCTCTGGCAAGTGCTCGAACCCTGTGGCAAAAACAAGCAACAACAAAGTCACTCAAACCATTTTATTGAAGGGTTTAAGGTTGAATGATGCGAGAACAAAGAAGCACTGAGAAGGGCAATAAAACCCAGTTTCTTCGGGGTGGCTGGGGCCTCCTTCCCAGACTTTCAGTTGTTGAAAACTATATGCTACTTTAAAAATATTTTGTGGCAGGGCCTTTAGGTGGCATGGTGGTTGAGGTACTTAACTCCCACATGGCTGACCATGGTTTGAGTCCTGGACCTGGAGGTTGGCTTTCTCACTCTCTCTCTGGTCAAATGAAAATAAATGAATAAATAAATAAAATTAGAGAAATAATTATAAACAATTAAAAACAATGTTTTGTGGGGCCAGGAGGTGGTATAGTGCTAACACAATTGAATCACAAGGGAAACACCCTACATTCACATCCTGGGACCTCCCTGGCATGCTAGGCATGTCCAGGATGGGCACCATGGAAGGGTAAGTGTCTGTTTCTCATGGGAAATGTAAATGCATAAACATAAAAAAGTTGTTGTAATTGTTACTCAAGAGATTGTGATTACGCTGTTACATGCATACGAAAGGACTGAACCTATCATGCATGACATCCCACAGAAGAAAGGCAGTCAGATATTGTTAACTGCAAGTCATATTAACACATGATTTTTAATAACTTTAAAAATAAGAGGTAGCAGAAGAATAGCCAATATATTTAATGTTCTGAATGAACTTAGCCAGGGTTCTCCAGAGAGAGAGAGAGATTTTAAAGATTTGGCTTATGAAAACGTGGGGCTTGGCAAGCCTGATGTCTCTGTGGGGCAGACTAGCAGGCAGAGGTTCAGATGAAAGTGGATGTTGCAGTTTTGAATCTGAAAGCTAGAAACTCCAGTTGGAATGTTTATTGGCAGTCTAGAGACCCAAGTCCTTCTTCCTCAGGTCATCGACTACTACTTAAATAAGGCCCACCTACATCTTAGAGCATCATCTGCTTTACTTGAAGTCAAGTAACTGTAAATGCTGACCACATCTAAAAAATACCTTTTTTTTAGCAATATCTAGGGGCTGGTGTGTGGCCCCAACCCATAGTGGCACCATAACCTAATCAAGTCGACACAAAACATTAACCAGCCAGGAACTTAACAAGTCTTTACACCATTCAGCTATTTTTTTCATCTTTCTGTCCAATATGTAATACTATACACCATGATTTTGTTTTGGGTTTGACAAAGTACATAACATAGGAGTGAAGCTTATTCTGCATCATTAATATGGCACTTTATGGAATAGGGGTGGAGTCTGGTTCAGAAAGGAGGGGATCTGAGCCCTGTTGTGCTTGTCCACCAAAGCTCTTTGGGTTTAAAGAACTGTGGCCATTTTCCTTAGAAATGTGCTTGGTATGGATGCGCCTTCCCATTAAGAACTGCACGCAACATTTCAGGCACGTTCACCAAAACCCCTTCCATCCTGGGGAATGTGGATGTAGTTATGAGAAGAGATGAATGGCATGGACAAGTGTAGAAAAAGCTATTTGTCTCACAGAAAAATTATGAAAAAAGGTGCCGCTTTCCTGACATTCTTGTTTTTAGAAAAAGAACTAGGAAACAGCACAGGATTGGCTTTCTGGAACACAAGGCATTTGTATAAATACTGTTGCTCGTCTTGTTGCTGATCGGGGGTTGAAGTCCTGTGCTGAGGTAGCTACTGTAGACATCATATACTTAGGGCGACTCTGCATGTTTGCGAAGTCTGCACCTCAGGGAGAGAGTGGAGCACTTGAAAATCAAGCTCACGTAACCTATGCATAATAATATGATGGAAACGGATAGTAAATACATGTCAAAAATGATACTGCAATTACACTTGGAACTATTATGCAGTTCTATGTATAATTAGTGTTTCGTTTTTTGGATCCGATGACAAAACCATATCCAATTTTATTTTTTAATGTTCAAACTCCTGTTTGGCACATGTACTGTTAACTCCTTACTCACTAAAGAACCTGATCAAATACTCTAAGTACACATGGCTGGGTCATGGAACGGTAAGTCCTGTAATAGAAATCGTATGGACACATTTTACTTATCCTCATAGTCGACAGAGATATCTGGCGCTATGGTTTTGAGATGTATGTTTTTGTTTGCTAATTTTATGTATCTGAAAGAGATCGATTTCATGGAAAGTATTCTCTCTGACCATCCAGGATGTTTCCTAGTCAATGAAACTATGTCATCTTCACTCCGAAGTCGCTGTTTAGATTTACATAGCTTCATAATTATCAGTCATTATCTACTTGCCAATTTATCTTTAGGGAATTCAAACTATTTATATAGTGCAATGTGTCACGGTCTAGAAAATTATTGGCAAAATGACTGTAGTCCTCTAACTTCTTATATTTAGTTAGCTAATATTGAATTCAGTGAACATACTACAGTGGTGCGGGGTTTTTCTGGAGTGACCATTTTAGAATCATAGGCCACCCATGAGGAGAGTTTCTTCTCTCATAATAAAAAGGCTGAGACAGAGAAATCATGTGACTCTCTGTCTTCCCACGCTTGATTACTGGCCGAACTAATGTAGAGATTCTAGTCTTGCCTTTTGTTTTATTATGATTTTATAAAGTACAGTGAATAAAAGGCTGATTATGGGGCTGACTATGAAATAGTATACGTCATTTGTTTGTATCTCAATGAAAGAATTAGTTAAATTTATATTTGCGTTCTCTACATTTCTGTCTGAGTCTGACCTGTGTAGAAGTCAGGTCTAATTTAGTGTTTCATTCCATTTTTTTGAAATCTCAAATACATATTCAGAAATTCAATTATTCTCAAACCTAGTTTTTGAATGATTGCCCAAGCCTAGTCAAAGTGGTCTAATTCTTCAAATTGTTTTCGAGGTAGGCTTGTGTACTTTGAAGCCCATTAAACAATTCCATTACCTTTTGAGATTTGTCAGAGTTTAGATTTTCTGGTTTGTTTCATGCTTACATTCGGTCACAGTTCATTTATTTGGTATCATTTGGTAACAATGTACTGAACATAAATTAATTTTCAAGATAATTCAACCCTGAGTGAATTAATATTTCCCTTTCTTGGTATCCCCGAAGCCTTTGACTACTCCTTCATCTAAGCAATTGCTTTGCTTAACTGTATTTGCTTGTTTACCTCCGTGTCTTTAGTATTTGAGGTCTTTAAAAGCACAAAATGTAACTTGTTTATATTTATATCCCTAGATATAGAACCTGATAGTTAGCAGACGCTTTAAGATTTATATAAAAATTACTTTATGCAAAAATTACAGGTAGCATTTTCAGCAATTAACTGACAAAATAAATTTTTTTGCAGGTGAAACATTTTTAAACTAAATTATGGACTTGACTTTCTTCTTATTTTATTTATTTATTTATTGAGAGGTTTTTGCTATAGGGCATGTGCACTCGCTGGAAAGACAGAGAGAGACAGAGAGACAGAATGTGAGAAATCACCCCCCAGGGGGATGCCCACGCCGCAATCCCTTCTCCTCCATTCTCCTCTCGGGATCTTGGGCACACAGGCACACGCGCCCGGCGTGAGTTTAAGCCACCGGGTCCGGGACACGAACCGCGGTCGACTACATTTCAGCAACTTAGCCATTATGCTAACTGCTGGTCCCAACTTTCTTCTTAAGCATTGAGTACACTGAAGATAATTTAGGTAATTTCACCTTTTCCTGACAGAACAAGAGGGAACAAACATGTACAAACGGGCTAACCATTGTGACCTTTGAGTTCCTCAGATTCAGTGTTTGTCCCCTTACCTCAGGACCTTTGTCTAGGCCATGACCCTCTCCCGGTGCTGTTCCTCGGTTCACATCCCCTTCTCTGCATTTTCCTAGCAAAGCAAGTTTCTCCTCCCAGTTAGTTCAAGCTTAACTTTTCAAAACAAGCCTTCCTTGTCATCCCCCTACCTCACTAACACAGGAATTGGGAGAGGTTTTACTGTGTAACTTTACCTTGGTAATTTATAACACAGATTTTTATTACTGTGTAATTAGTTTGTTCATGTGTTTTCTTCCCAATGCATCTCTATGCTCCATGGAAGTGAGTTTGGCTCACCATTGTATCCATTTAAACTAAATGCTAAATAAATATTTTTGGGGAGATTCCATTATTCCACTGTACTGTGGTATTACTACTGATACCCTAAGAAATGATGCATATGTAGGATTTCTTTCATCTTTTACTAAATGGACATAGATTGCTCTTACATTTTGGGATTTTAGGGGAACTTTCTTTTTTTTTTGCAATTTTTTGGTTTTCAACATTGTTTTCATCTATGAATAGCTTTTATTATAAATGTTTATTTGTCTTGTATTGT